CAGCAGCCTGAACATGAGTCTGTAATGAGCAGATGGGTATGAACGCAGCAGCAAATGGCAAGAGATCAGCAGCATGGATAATCAGCAGCACAGATAAGTTGGTTAAAATGGCATTACAGTGATTTTTTATTTATTTAATTTTTTAACAGTGATTATCCTGGTTAGGGATTTACAAATCTAACAGCTTCAGGGTAGAAGCTGTTCCTCAGTCTAGTGGTTTAACATTAAGCTGCCATTCTGTAACTTTTAGCTTTTAGCTAGCAATTGTCTACTTTTATCTTTCAGTTACTGTTAAGCTACTTTTTGCATTCCATTTGCCTTTTTTGCGTTTTTTGTTGTTGTTGTGTTTTTTGCGTTTTGCTAGCCTTTTAATAATTTTAGATAGCGTTCAGCTACTTTTAACTACCGTTCTCTTATTTTTTGCTTTTAGCTAGAAATGTTCTACTTTTAGCATTTGTCTAGTGTTTTGATATTTGTAGTTTTAGCTAGCACATAGTATCCTTAGCTCTTAGTTAGCCTTTTGCAATTTTTAGCTGTTCTTTTGCTACTTTTAGCTTTTGCAACTATAAAACTTTCAACTGTTTTACTACTTTAAATTTCAGCTAGAAATTTCCCATTTTTCCTTTTTAGTTATGCTACTTATCATTTAAAACTTGTAGCTTAGCCACTGTCATGTAATCTGCAGGCTCGAGCCCAGGTCTATCAGAAAGATCGTCTGATGTAGAACAAAAGCTAAATATTTCATGTGAGCTTGCTGTGGTGAACCCTACAGAAGGAAGCAGCCAAAAAAACAACTAGCCTTTTGTAACTTTAGCTAGCTTTATGCTAGATTTGGCTACTGTTTTGCTATTTCTAGTTAGCATTTTGTTTTATTTAGCTTGCATGTTCTGCTTTCATTAGCTTGAACAACTCAGTTTTAGCTTCTTCAACCAACTTCAGCCTTCATCCAAGCTGTCGGTTCACAGAAAATGCAACATCTGTAGTTTTTAGGATTCTATTGTGGTTGTATAAGTTTGAAAAAGGTAAAGGTTTGTATTTACTATGTTGTACTTCCTCACAACACAGAATAAGTCAAATTATTTTACCATGACTGGTAGAAAAGCGGAGTATTGCGAAGACAAATGATTGCTATTGATATGTATTTGAGATTTGTTTAAATCAAAATATTTACAATCAGCTAAAGTTGTGGTGAGCATGATTTTTATTTCTCTAACACTTCAATCTGGAGCCATTCTACAATGTAGAAGTAAAATAACACAAAATCCTTCATGACAAATCAGATCAGGCTCTTTGTATTTCATCTGGGGGTCACATATGCGACGTACACATGTAATTATCTGCTGTTGTATAACTTTAAGCTGATTTTACCCCACAGATTACAGCATAAAAAGTAGTCTGTAAAGAGAAGCCTAAAATATTAAGCTTGTGGTTTTAAATGTGATTTAAATGTCAATGTCATAGAAGGAAATGACAATTAGATAGTGGGAAGTGATTATGCACTAAAGTCAAAGAAGAAAGCACTTCTAGTTTTTTTTTTTAAACCAAAGCACAAAAAAACATTTCGATTGTGGGGAAACAAACCCCTGACATAACCGCTGAGTGCTCTTAGAGTAAAGTCTCTTCAGAGCAACATAAACATATTGACCGGCGGCCTCCTCACCGATATCACTTGTTTACAGCCGCTGAGCAAACGACGATCAGGCTGAGCTGCAAAAGAAAAAATCAAAAGGCTGGTTCTCGTTATCTTTGCTTGTGCTCGTTTGATTACCCCCCACTTGTTCGTGTCTGTGTCTTAGTTTGTACGAAATGATCTTAATACTAATAATAAAATATTTAATGAAACTCTCGGGAGGTAATCACGGCGTGGACATCTGAAGCTCATCAACATTTGGAGTCAGCCTAATCCAGCATGTCTGCCAAAGCTAATCCATGTTAGGCAACACGTAAAGGACTATAACTCAGTCGACTTTACAGATACTGAGCTAAATGTAGGCGTGGTAGTAGCTGACAATCATTCACAACACACTGATTATTTTTCCATCAGGTCATCTGTAGGGTTCGACCAAAAAGGCCATTATAAGAAAGTCTTAGTTGGAAATGTTGGATGACGCCCTTTCCTTTGAGAAATGCTGGGCTTCTGATCATGAATCAGCAGTTTTCGGTGTTTTAAAGGCCAGACAGAAGAAAAAAAAACAATTGATGTATTTTGTTAATTTTGTGTCTTTTTGACCAAAACTTGCCATATGCATTTCAAGTTTAACCAGAAAAAAAGCATTTTTTGCAGAAATGCAGTATGAATGAATCCTGAATGGTTTTGCTGAAAGCTGCTGAAGACACTAAAGCTTACTTGAAATATGCCAATAGCTGAAAAGCAGAAAGAAGAAGCTTGAAAGAGCACAAAAAGCTTAAATGAGTAAAATAAATAAATATTGAAACACTGAAAGGAGTGTAAAAAGCTTGAGTTAACAGATGCCAAAAAAACTTAAATTCAAGGAAAGAAGCTTAATAGAGCACAAAACAGCTATAATGAGCAGAAAATCTGCTGAAAGTAGCTGAAAAAGCACAAAATTTTGAAATTAGCATGGAAAGGCTGAAAGAGCACAAAAAAGGCAGAAAAAATATCATACACAAGCTAAAGGTAGCCAAAATGATGAACTTAGTATAAACTTTGCTGAAATGTAGCCAAAAAATCATTAAAACGGTTAAATTAGCCAAAATAAGTAAGCAGAAATGAGCTAAAAGGACCACATAGAAACCCACCCCAAAAAGCTGGAAGAAGAAGCTAAAAGAGAAAAAAATTGAAATAGGCAGAAAGAAGCTAAAAGGAGCTGAAGGAAGCTGAAAACAGTAGAACCAGAACAAAAGCCGAAATGAGCAGTAAAGTTTGAAGGGAGCTCCATTCGTTTTCAATGAGAAAAACATGGCCGACAAAACTGAACACTTCAAAAAGGAAAAATTGCACAAATACCAAAAGCCACAGCTGGAATATCCTGAATGAGCTGAACGTTTTGTCATATGAATTGTTGAAATGGCACAATAAAAACGTACGGAAGAAAAACAGCTCTCAGTAACTTCCTGTTCAAGTGAAAGACACTCCAAATATTTAGTTATCATATTAGTTTCCCTTTCAGCACACACTCAATGTTCCTTTTTCAATTTCAATCTCTCTAAGTGAGACTGAACTCCCGCCGATGCCTGCATCTTAATTTTGCTCCCTACCTGTTGACAAGCAAACAATCGCAATTGCCTGATAAGAGCTGGAATGGTGCCATTGATTAACCAGCGACTTCATTATTATGTTGGCTGGCATTAACAATGCAACCCCATTGATTCGACTGCTGAAATGACTGCGAGAGAAATCAGGAGAGATAACACCGGGGACTGCGGTTTTGTATTGGATTCACTGCAGGAACACTGCTCTGCAGCTTTGTGCAAGACAATGAGCCTCTGCAATCCACCTCGTCCCAATTCTCCAAGCTGGTACTTAAAATATCAAAGTGTCACAGGACATTACGTCAACTAGTTTTCTGCATTAATGCATAATGCAATATTTGAAAAGGAGGGAAGAGGAGCTATAATTACCTACATTTAGACCTGACTCATCCGCCTTTGAGATAATTATCTGACACAGAAAGAGGGGAAACAAGTGGGTTTGATGAGCAGGAAAACAGTAAATCAGTGCATGCTCTGCTCTTTATTTCAGGACAAATAAAAAGGCGCATTGCGTAATAGTGCACTTGAAATAGCTCGTGTCAGAAAGTAGGCCTGCTTTGAGATCTGAGGGCTGGAAATGCAGGGCAAAGGCTGCAGAAAGTGGTGAAACAGCGACGCCTTGTGGACAAACACGGTACTGTGAAAACCCTGAACACTGTACTGTAATTGCAGTCAGTGGATAAAATGCAGCCAGCAGAGAACAATAGGTGTAAACAGAAACCGTGAAGTTTGTGGAAAAGTGGACGCCTATAAAGAGAATATTTTATGTCTTGACACAACCGAAAATAGGTCGAATCCAATAAATAATCAATATTCATGATTGTATTTAGAAGTTTTGATTGTGTACATTGGTTAAAGGCGTGATTCGGTCTTTTTTTTATTGTCGGCATAAAATAAATAAAACATATTTTTAATATATTTCAACATTAAACTGCGAGTCATATATTTATAAGTATAAAAAACCCACAGTTTGTTCTGGGCTCCAGTCAGCCCCTCCACGTTTCCTTTTCAGGAATCGTTTGATGGACCTATTAACTTCCATGTAACATTGTTTCTTGAAGGCATCCACAGCAGCAGCGCCTCAGCGTCATTACTGTGAGAAATGTGCTTTCATATTGAACGTCTTTTACGCAGGTCCTGGAAGGGGCATGGCCAAAAATGCGCCAAAAAGCAAAATTTATTAATAATTTTGCGCTTAAATTGTATTATTTTTACTCCAAAGCACGAATTATAACCATATATAGAACTTAATGTTATTAATGGTTAAATATATGTAATATTTCTAAGGTATTTTGAAATATTTTGCGCAATAAATGCGGTTTTCTTAAATATAATGCATATAAAAATAATCATCGTTAATATATTCCAACATATTTAACAAGTGGAGTAAGTAAGTGTTTAATGCATCATTTCGTGACAAAACAATGTTTTTTATACGTCGGTTTAAAGACGAAAACAGCGCGTTTTAACTCTTAGGGGGTACGTCCCTTCCAGGACCTCCGGCAATCCATTCAAGCCAGCAAGTTTGGAGAGCGTGTTGAGTTTAATCAATTCATAACGTCGAGATGGAGCCGAACTCACTGAAGGTAACGTTTGTTTTCATCCACACATTTGTTTTAGCTCCGTAAACACGTGCCACATCAGCTAAACTTTGGCGCATTCCTCCTTTGTGTGTTGGACATTAAAAAATATAATATATATATAGGCTGGTTTTACGCGCAGAAATTTGAGATAAATCCCGATATGTGTTATGTTTTGATGCTGATGGACGCGCTGTTTTTGTCTAGCTCGAGCTGATCTTAATTTCTTGTCCCTTCTGTAACAGTGGGTGGGCTCGTCTTGCGGCTTACACGGACCATATATCTTCTATAAAGCCTTTAAATTTCACCGGGGCGGCAAGCCCAGGATCCTGGCTCTGGGAGACTTTTTCTTCGTGCGCTGCAGACCCGAGGAGCCCGTGTGCATAGCGGAGCTGCAGCTCCTCTGGGAGGAGAGGACGAGCAGGCAACTTTTATCCAGCTCCAAACTTTATTTCCTACCCGAGGATACTCCCCAGGGACGCGCGGCGGCTCAGCATGGAGAGGTAGGACCCGGATCCAGATCACGCAGCTTTTGGGGTTTTATTGCGGATTTGTGCACGCAGTGCAAGAATTTGTCATCTCCAGTTCACTTTTTATTGTCTGCTGCGCTGATTGTGCACGCAGCCTGTGCGGTTAATTGTGCTCTAGAAACGCCTGGGCTCTGCCACTTCAGCTGTTTTTGTGTTTTTTCTTTGTATCTTTCCTCTGGCAGCTAAAAGCATGTCAAGCAGTGACATATATGGGAGAGGAAATTGCGAAATTGTAAGAAAAGAAGAAAAAAAAAAAGATGAAGGCAGGGGGCGCCGGGTCATGTTGACAACACTGTCAGCTCCTGTTTATGTTTTTATTCGTTTGGCGCAAAAAGGAGCAATATTTGCGCACTGGTTGAGCGGGGATTGGGATTTGGTTACATCGTTGCGCTGCTGGTTTTTTCCCTCTTCCAGCAGCTAGAAAACAAAAGCTGTGTTGTTTCCCCTCTGACTTAATTTAATGACACATCAACACTTTAATGACAGTTTTTCTGCTCCTGGTGTGGAGATGATCCTCTGTAGCTGTTTTTATTTTATTGTTTATAAGGGCGGACAAAGCCGTGTTTGTACTTGACTCTTCCGCTGATGGTTTACTTACATTCTTTCCTCTTGAGTAATAAGAGCAGCTATCACATTTCCCTTTCATGAGAAAAAAAAATGGAGGCTATTTATGGCTGCTTAGACAAGTTCTCATCCTGAAGCTTTTAAACAATTTCTCAGTGATTACTCCGATTGTGCTTTGCGCAATGTCAGCTCCGCCTCTTTCCCAAACTCTTATTTGCATCTCAAAGTGTTTTACATTCCAGCTCAATGATTAGATCTGGAAAATATAAAACCCAATAACAGAAGAGACAGCAGCTGAATGAAATCACACACTTTTAGCTCATGTTGGCATGAAGACAGATTTGCTGTGCAGATCACATGAACTGTTACAGTGAAACCTAGAACAAAAGCTAAAATAATAAGAGTATACTACATATAAAAGTCTATATTTGAAGCTAAAATTCAGCTAAATTGTAACTAGAAGCAAAGCAGTTGCTAAAAGCAAAAGTGATCAGATCCACTGCAACAAGCAATGAAAAAAAAACAGAACTGATGAAAAGCTAAAATAAGCTAAAAGCTTATGCTAGCAAAACAGCTTAAATCAACAAAGTCATATTTGAATGCTAAAATTCAGCTTAATCATAACTAAAAGCTAAAACCATCAGAACTTATGCTTTTAGCAATGGGTCTGCTAAAAGCAGCAGAACCATTGAAAGCAAAAATGACTAGATCTGTAGCACAAACCTAAAATAAAATTTCAACTGAAGCTAAAATTAGTATAACTGGAGCTAAAAGCTCAGATGAGCAAAACAGTAGCTAAGAGCTTAGATGAATGCTAAAGGTAACCTAAATCATAACTAAAAGTAAAAATTAACAGAATTGAATGCAGAAAGCTTATGAAACCTTAACTAAAAGCTAAAACAAGTAGAATTGGAGCTTAAAGCTCGCATTAGTAAAACAGTAACTAAAATTAACCAAATAGTAGCTGAATCCTAAAGTTAATCTAAATTGTAATTACAGTAAAAAAAAAAAAAAAGCAAAAGGCTAACATAAACAAAAGCTAACATGAATAAAACTGTTGCTAAAAGCTCACTTTATCAAAACAGTAGCTAGAAGACAAAATTAGCAAAATAATATCTGCTAAAATTCAGCTTAATCATAACTAAAAGCTAATGTTAGCAAAACCATTAGAAGCGAAAATGACCAGAGCTGTTGCAACAAAAACAAACAAACAAACAAAAAAAAAACTAAATTACAGTGGCTAAGAGCTTAAATTAGCAAAATAGTAGCTGAATACTAAAGTTTAAGTTAAATTGTGACTAAAAATAAAAATGACTAGAATTGTAGCAGAAAGCTAAGATTACAAAACATTAACTAAACACTAAACCAAGTAAAACTGGAGCTTAAAGCTAACATTATCAAACAGTAGCTAGAAGATAAAATCACTGAATGCTAAAAACATTCAGCTATAGCTTAACTGAAAGCTTAATAACCAGATCCAAAGCAAAAGGTAAAAATTAACCAAAACTAAGCTGAGTAAAACTGTTACCTAAAGCTTGTAAAACATTAAATTAGCAAAAGCACAGGTAGAAGCTAAAATTCGGCTAAACTGTAACTAAAAGATAAAATTAGCCTAAATGTGGCTATCAGCTAAAATCAGCATTTCAGCAAAAAATCTAAAAAAGAACCAAACTTTAGCTAAAAAGTAACATTACCAGACAGGTAAAAAGCTGTTACTAGCAAAACAACAGCTAAAAGCTTATATAATAATAAAACTAGCTAAAAGCTCAAATTAACTAAACAGTAGCTAAAAGGTCAAATGAGCCAAACCATAGCTAAAAGTTAAAATTTGTATAAACATTAGCTTAACGTGAAAACTAGCACAGCAGTTGTTAAAAGCTAAAGAGGATAAGAAGATGAAAACAGAGAGGTCTGTTGAAGTTGATCTCAGAACGTTTCTGAAGGAACCTAAGAGATCTTAATGCATTTCTATGGGGAATACTTCTGCAAAGTAAGTGAAATAAATACAAATATATATATATAAAAGTTACAAACACTAAAAGTCATACATCACTAACTGAGCTGAATGTGTTAATGTACAAGAGGGTAAAATAGCACAAACCATGCCCATAAGAAACTATGAACAGAAAATAGTGTGGCTGCTGAATCAGCGTTCCCACAATCAGCGTCTTTTTGCTGCCGGAGTGAAATCACATAAAGTCAAAGCTATTTGGCTGCACAGACCATGGATTTCCCAGCAAACAGGTTTGGCCAAGGCATGCATTTCCTCGCTGCAGTTGCACAGATCAGAGAATAACCGTCCAAACACTGAGATGATATAATTTTAGGGGATGAAATGTTTTAAGTGCTGTGTAGGTGCCTGCAGGCCAACCTCAATTAAAGGGCTTGTCAAAACCTTCTGCTCTCAGCAAATCAGACTACTTACTGGACATTACAAGGTGGAAATTGTCCCGACAACTTCGAGCCAGTTTATGACCTTCGCTTGAGCCAACTCCAGTTCTCGCTGACTTTGCCCCATAAGACTAATCTGCACTGCATGAGTCAGCTAAGAGCACTTACAGATGCAATCTATAAACAAAATAAAAAATAAATAAAACCAGCAACAAAGAGGAACGGTAAACCAGCCCACACAAGCATGAATGTAACTACAGAAATGACATTTCCTACAAAAATGCAGTGTGAATGCTTATTGCTGAATGATTTTTGCTAAATAAGTTGAAACCAGGCTGAAAAGGTTTCATCATTAACCTGGTAATGTAAGTTGAACAGCATTTGCTGAAAGTAGGAAAATAATAGTGGAAAGCAGCGGAAAAACAGTAGTAATGTGTAGAAAAAGCTGGATAGAGCAGAAGCAAGGCCAAAATGAGAAGAATAAGCTGAAATAGACAGAGATTTTAAAACAAATGTCAAATTAGCTTAAAATAAACTGAAATGAGCAGAAAAAAGCTGAAACTAGTAGAAAAGTAACTGAAATTAGCAGAGGAAAGCTGAAAAAAGCTTAAAAGGTTGAAATTATTTGAAAAGATCACAAAAAGCAAAAATTAACAAAAAATGTAGAATAAAAAAAGGCTGAAATTCATAAAAAAATACTAAAAAAAAAGTAGCTGAAGTAAGCAGAAAAAGCTGAAAGTAGTAGAAAAGTAGCTGAAATTAGCAGAGGAAAGCTGAAAAAACATAAAAGGTTGAAATTATTTGAAAAGATCACAAAAAGCAAAATTTTATAAAAAATGTATAATAAAAAAGGCTGAAATTCATAAATTACTTAAAAAAAGTAGCCGAAGTAAGCAGAAAAAGCTGAAACTAGTAGAAAAGTAGCTGAAATTAGCAGAGGAAAGCTGAAAAAAACATAAAAGGTTAAAATTATTTGAAAGGATCACAAAAGGCAAAAATTTACAAAAAATGTAGAATAAAAAAGGCTGAAAATCACAAAATATTACTGAAAAAGTACCTGAAGTAAGCAGAAATAGCTGAAAAGAGCTGAAGGAAGCTGAAATTGGCCCATATAAGCTGAAAAAAAACCAGAACATAAGCTGATATGTGCAGTAACAGGTTGTAAACAGCACACAGAGTTTGAAGGATGTGAAGAGAAGCTCCATACATTTTCAATGAGACATGGCCAAAAAAGCTGAATATTTCAAAAAGTTAAAATTGCATAAACACCAAAAATCATAGCAAGAATGTCCTGAATGAGCTGAATGTTTTGATACAGTATATGAATTATTGAAATGGCACAAAATTTGTGGAACGAGTCACGCGATGATGAATGTACAGAAGAAAAATGGATTTCGATGGAAGCGTTGCCACCATTAAAGGCCTACTTTACTTCCAGGAATGCTTCCAGGGCTTTAAAACAACATAATTATAGGTAATTGGTGAAAACAATTTCACACCATCACTCACATGATCTGTTAGCCGTCAGACTATGCGTTGTGAATGACTGTCAGCTACTACTACACCACATTTTTAAGCTCAGCATCCATAGAAACGCAACATCTGTAGCGGTAAACGTGATTAAAAACAAGGAAAGCGCCAACCAGAAGCAGTAAACATTGCAAAGTGGTTCATTTTTAGCCACGCTGAAAAAAACCTCCCACACAGGCCACTCTTCTTCAGAACCGTTACAGTGCGAAGAAAGATTAATGTTTGTGGAGCAACACGGAGCCATAAATCTGTAAGGGACTCGCTGCAGAATCAGGACTTTAATTCGTCCCTGTGACTCATCCAGATATGAACCTGAGAGCTCACAGTGCTCAGGAAGTGTGCTGCTGTCATGAAGGTTAATTGCTAAGTGGGAACACGTGGTGTCACGATGAAGTGGGTATAAATGTAAGCTATGACTTATAGATTGTGTTTTTCACACTTCGTACAACAGAATCAGATATGTGACATGTAAACAACTCCTCTTCTTT